CTAGAAAATAACTAATGACTGCATTAGCCGGGAAGTGGTGCAGATATTATGCAAAGAATATCAACCTGTCAAACAAGGAAATCGTCTCTGAATATCATTCAAACCAAAAATAAGTAATGGTRAATTCTCTTAATTTTCGCTTCAATGTTGTTTTGATTTTTCAAGATAAAACCATAAGGTTATTCATCACTAAATACAAATAATGGTGACTGTTGTATCATGATGTGAATGTGTCTGTAGAGTTACGTGAAAATCGACTACATTCATACATACACAAGACGCCCCGCGCRCCAGGCAGGAAGCGATTCGCTGATTCTTGCAAGTAAATATCAAGGAAAGTCATGAGATGGAAAATCCTCAATGCCTTACAATATCTCAGGTTTTCGTATAACTTGTCAAGGTAGCTTAATCAAACAAATCAATAAAAACAACCCTAGAATGTAATTTAAGGAATAAACCAAAAATTAACTAACCTTGAAAGCGGTAAAACGAGCGATAGAGAATACCAGTCTTTGGCAAGACCCAGTCATTAGGAAGCGGTCGAGGCAGTGGAACAGCAATGATATTCAATAAGCAGCACAGAATAAGAATAGGGTGAAGACATTTACAGCTTTTCCAGTTCATTGGGATTCCAAATCTCACAGAAAGAGTTAATCTTGTTCACTGGTACTTCTCAGAGATGTCTACAGATTGCGTTTGCCGTTTGACCGCCGAAGCAATTTCTATTTGTTTATCTGTATATCGTTGACTATAAAACAGCCCCATGTTCTGGCTAACTTTCTAGCTCACTGCATGCTTGGYTTTCTATGTACTTGAGCGGGAACTTTGCGATAGCTGTTTCAGTTGTTCTGTTCTAAATTATGCTCATAATTTATTCATTCTGATCACAATACGATTTTGGCAGAAATGCTAATTAGATAGAGCGGAAGCTACTTCAAAAGAGTTGCGTATTTTACTCATTCTCGTCTTTTTTTTTCTTCTCGTGAATCATAATAACATAGTTAAGTCATCTAGAGCCAATCAAAAACCCAACTAGGACTCTTTTACTCTCATCAGTTGGTGGCAGAAGCGTGAAGGACTAACTTATACATGTTCGCTTACAATCTTGACCAGATGGCGTACAGTTTGAACCTTAATATTCACAGATTCAAGTCAATATACCAGGAAAATAAACTCAATAATATACGTAGTCATTAACCGAAAGATTGTGAAACACTTTTTTGCGGAGGCAGTTGAGTCATAAAGCGACGAAAATTATCTAGATCTATATTGACGTGAGAAATGTAGCGTTCCAGTAACTGCAGGATCTTATTAAAGATGTATAATTCTGGTGTTAGAATATGAATGAAAACACTCTCTTACTTGGAGTAAATCTTGTCTTAGAAATGAAATTTTATAAATCTGTTCGAACAGCTGCTATTTATTTGACATTGTTCATTGTTACTAGAAAATACGATTCAGGGTTATTCCTACTTGAAAGCGGGAAGTTTTGTTCTAGCTACCCGGTTTGATATTCCTGTCTTTCTTTATAAAAAAAACGTATTCAGTTATATTACAATTTAAAAGACGTTTGGCGCAGACAGCGAGCTCTGAAAAKATCTTTTCACCTGAGTTTCAGTTCAACCTTAACAAACTATTTTCAGCTCAGATATCTGGGTGTCTTATGTAAACTTTTTTTCAACTCTCTAGGCCGGTTACAAGTCAAAGAAAACTCCCCCGTTGCGATAAATAATCAATCCACAGACATGGAATTCAATTGCCTATAACGTTAACAAACAAAATAAAGAAAGAAACACGAGTTTTTTTTGATAAGTTCATAAACAATATTTATCGTCGTCCATTTGTTCGATAGAACTAATAAAGAACTTGCGTAGGTGGAAAAACACCGAGGTCCTTGAAAACCACAACTGAGCTTCTTGGGTTAGTGTGGTTCATTCGAGAGCACCAGGTTTTGAGAACAGGCCATCATCAATATTCTCTCACAAAACTCTTACATCTTGTCTTCTCTGGTTTTAACGCGAATTTACTTTGCACTGAAATTTTTTTTTTTTTTTTTTTTTTTTTCATTTTTCATACTTCATATTACATTAATCAAAATTTGTCCTACATAAAATAGATTAAATCAATAATCTAGCGGCTAGTTATTTTTAGAAAAATAAATAAATATAATTTGGTTTCATTGTTGTGGGTAGTTTGTGTGGGTTTTTCAATTCATCATATGTCCTCTAACTGAAATAGTAAATATGTAATCCCTGTAATGCAGAAAAATTCAAACCAATATTATCAATAATTTATGTGGTTATAACTCAATCTTGCGGGGGAAAATAGAATAATTCTTTGTTTACAATTGTTTTTACTCAGTAACTAGTTTTTCATGATGTTTTCATTTGATTTCTTTGAAGGCCGGAGAATAATTAATCGTTCCTTTCTCTACGTTCTCTCGTAATCATCATTATATTAAAGAATCTTGCTTGAATATTGATAGTGTGTGTGAAGATATAATTAAATCCTTGGACTTATTATTAGTGTTTATAAAGTATGTGCATTGCGGGAGATCGGAATTCCCATCAGTGTACATAGACAGATAAAGAATACCATGAGGTATTTGATTTCCCACGTTCACAGAAAGAAGCAGTTTTGGTATAACAAATACCTATTCAATGGAAAACGATGAAAAATCTTTCCAACACAAATTTCCAATGTCATGTTCCTAATACTTTGATGAAATATTTTTATAAAACAAGAATTGTACGAGTTAGCGGATATTCAACTAATGCATGAATAAAGTATTGTAAAAATGATTTTAAAAATATAGATAAAAAGGTTAGAGAGACGGAGAAATACAAAATAGATGGTGCTATACTCGGGAAGGAAGGAAACTGAGCCATAAAGCAAAAGATGACATCTAGATACGAATAGCAAAGTCTAGATAATGGAAAAAAATTTGTCTATGAATTGTTATGAATAAATGGCAACCATCAATTTTGGTTCAAATAAGTCTGGTGAAGTTCATTGATAATATCAACTTCGGAAGGTATTCTGTACTACAGACCATCTGTCATGATTATATGAGCAAAAAGGCTCCAGGTCAAAGAGGTTTTAGTATGAAAATACAGATCAGATAGATACCAAGCTTACGGCCTAGCTTAGCCAAATTCTGTCTCATAGTGCTATATTACTGGAAAAATTTGAACCCCTTGCAAAATGAAAAAAAATCGAGAATTTGATAGAGAATTTACTAGAAAATYATGGGTAAAAAGGATGTCGCACGTTTGGACTATTATGGTCTCTAAGACTGTGACGGAGACATTGTATTATTTATTATATTGTATTATGTTTTATTATAGTTTTGATTAAAATTTGGTTAAAATTAAAAAAATATACACCACAAATATACACCAGCTTCAGTATATATCTGAATGCCTGGTATCAGGAAATCTTTAGGAATTGGAGCATGATATATAGGATAAACACCTCATGTTTTAACATAAAATAAAGCAAAGCTATGAGTGAAATTTGGACCAAACGATTTAAATACACATCATCATATAGTTATATATTTCTCGTATTTTTGTTATTGTTTGAGTGACTCACATACCGTCTCAAACCTTGACTTCGAAAAACATGAATATTTCATAGGTTCTAGGCTGTAAACCAAAGCCGATAAGATTTTTATTGGCTTTAAATTATTTTCGGATTGGTCGTCAAACATCAAGACTTCAAGCAGGCCAAAATCAGCTCATGACCAATATGGCATCCATGATGGTCGATAAGACACAGTTAGAATACTTTTGGCGGAAACCATGATTTACTCTTACTTTGTTGGAAATTCTAGGGATMTTTTGCGAGAAAATATTAAATAAATATTAATAAATCAGAAGAACACCAATGAATCATAGCTGTAGATGCAAGAAGTTATCTAGCAGAATATCTARAAAAATATATTATTGATTGCTTTGGTGATTTGTGATGAATACATATAGGCCGATTTACACGGTACGATTTTTCCCTACATTTGTCTGGCGCAAAAAATCGACCGTACGACTTTATTACGACTGTCAATGGCAGGTAAACCTTGGCGTAAGCATGTTGTACGTGAGACAGTTTAAGGAGAAATCAGTCGTACCGTGTAATCAGCCTTAACGAGTCAAATAAACCTGTTCAATTCCAATCAATATTTAGGGAAAATTTATCGGCGTAGAAATTCAACTTCATTAACTTTTTCTCCACCAACTTAAGCGGTGATAATAAAAAAAWWTTTTTTTTCAATTTTCTCCACCATAAATCAAATTTGCAGCTTTTTGTTGCTTTCTCTTAATTAAATATCGAGTTCAAAAAACTTATTACTATTTTCATCCATGATATCAATTCCTAAGCTGAATACTTCCCAAATATCAGATACCGCAATGACACGAGTGCATACGGCATTTCTGGGTATACTTGAGAATGCACTTTCGGGAAAATTCTTCATCATATATCAATTTTGAAGCTTTTCATTGCTTACTCTTAATTTAATTTCAACTTCAAAATATATTTCTTATTTCAATAATAATAATATTACCTAATATTTATGGTATATTTGACAAAAAATCACTCTTTGGCTGGATCAGAACGTGAGACACCTATTCGCAAAGGGCATTCTTGTTTTCTCGTCACAAAAAAATATTGATTTTTTAACTTTTCGAGATTTCAACTTGTAAAAAATATGCGTCAAATGGAAAATGGGGAGATGGGGTGGAGGGGTGGGGGCATTTAAAATAATTTCTCGCTTTGTTCTTTTCGTTATTGCCTTGTGGTTTTTTTTTGTTTTTTGTGTTTTTTTGGGGGGGGATTTTTGTTTGTTTGTTTGTTTTTGTTTGTTTGTTTGTTTGTTTGTTGTTGTTGTTGTTGTTTTTTGTCTACTGCCGTTGACAGTGGAGTGGTGAGCTTAACGCAGTTTAGTTCATCCCTTCCTCCCCGCGTACGTAAAAAAAGAAAATAAGAAAATAATGTCTACTTACCACAATATCCTTTCTTGGCTACTCGAATCCATCGGCCCAAGATACACGAGTCCGCCCTCAGTACACATTTGTTGATGTACGTCTTGCTATTGGTKCCACATACCGGTGCGTACTCTAGAGAACAGGTCACTTTGCATTCACATTGAGCATAGTCTTCATGCATGCGGCACTGRGCGTAGAACTGACATGATAGCGTCTCACAATTTTTACCTATTTAAAAAAAATGTTAACATAGCATTAAGTTTATCTATACRGCTTCCACTTAGAGTGCATACCATATATCCGTGAAGAAAAAAACCTTTGGAAGAAATTCCATAAATTTACGAGAATTAGTAAGTTCAGTAGACCTCAGTAGACTATAGATCTACAAAACTTTGCACTAATTTGTACAATTTTGTTAGTTAACATCTACAMGTATATATGGTATGGAGTACTCTAACAATATCAAAAACAAATACAAAAAATAGACCTTGTGCAGTTAACGTGTAATATCTTGGCCACTTTACTTTTCAAACTACTTTTTTCTTTCAAACGTTTGCTAGTCAATYAGAGATCATTCCATTGAATAAGATTGCGCTTGAGTTTGGTTGAAATTTGAAACGCAAGATGGTAGAGATGCCAGTTTATTATGATCTTGTCATTGTTTTCCCCTTTYAGACAAGTCATTCCCTTGAGTATTATTTCTTTGTGTTCTAGTAACGCTTGAATAGAAAATATAATGGTATGGATATACTCTAACGAAAATATTTTATTCCCAGGGGAGTGACACGTCTGAAATGTTTGTGAAACAAAAACGAATAATGTCTATAAAGTCCTTGATGGCATCCAAGACAGGAGGCAGAAAAATAGACCAAGCAAACCCCTTGCAGCACGTCGTAATGAAGCAAATGCCAATTTGGAGTACAATGGAGAATAAAAGTCTTTCYAATTCTCAGGAGATTGATATTCTTTTGTTTTGTYTTCCAAATTGAGCTGCTCTGACGTCACATGCAAAAGAGTCTTTAATTCCCCCCCTGGAAACTGCTTTCTTTCTCATATAAAGCAGGTTATATTTAGTTCCTGCCTTCTGTCATGCCTGCCATCACGTGATGGTGCAAAGCCTGTATTGCCATCGAATTCACCTACCTCTTGGCATCTTCCTAGTGGTGATGTTGCCATATAAAGGCATATTACTAGTGGGCATGACAAYCGKTACATAGCTACTGCTACCAGGGTTAAGAGTAGGCGTGGCTGATATCGACCATGCTGGCGTCGTATCATGGTAAATTAGCTCCGTCGAGATGAATAAACCACCACCATCACCACCACCTCCAGAATATGAAGAAGAAGAACTAGGGTTGTTGGGAGAGATCCCCTGCATGATCGATGTGCGCCCGCCCACTAACTCTTGAATKGGTTTTTCAGTCGATGAATCTACAGCTGAAAAGTCACGAGATCACTTTAGACAGAATTAAGGCAAAATGAGAAAAATTGTCGAGATCTTGAAGAAACCTATGAGCATACTCATGATGAATTGCTGATGATGGAATTTAATTAGAGCGGGCTACATGTCTGCTGTTTTACACCAAGCGAGGAAATCCAGAACTGTCCATAGTAGATTCGGGATTCTGACTCCACTAATTTAGGGTCCCAATTAGATGGATTATTGGGGCGTTTGTACGTGACGTCTCAGCGACCATATTGGGGTACCAAAACAATACATTGTCTATCCTCCGGGAATTGAACTCTTTTTATGCAAAAATTGTGCAGAAAGTTCTTTATTGTTTGGTACACAAGTATGGCTGCCTTCTCACTTGAGTAAAAACGCTCTATATAAAGATCATGATCAGTCAATTGATTTAAACTTCTGTCTATTGAAGCCTTTTTCTTCTTTTTCAGGTTATGGACCGTTAATTCTCACGCCTCATGCACCATGATTAAAAAATAATAGTAAAGAGGCCGCATGGTACTTAGACCCGCCTTAAGYACTGCTACGTAACAGTGTTCAAGCATCCTATTGGTCGAYCTGGGATATGYGGATTCATCTAGTTGGATTACCGGATCTAACAACAGTATAATGTTTCGACATAAATGTCATTATTCTGTCAGCATAATGTTCTGTTTTCTTTTACCCGCGTAACCTCGTACTGAAGCACTTGTATGCGAGGCTAGCGGAGAAAAATATGTTCGCTGACGCATGAGAGAGCCCTATTTAGAAAGTAACACTTCCTTTAAACTCAAAACAAATGCAGTTCCAAGTAGTTTGACTGTTATACTGATTAACAATGTGATCATGTATATTTATATGTGTAGAAAACTTGGAAGATACTTACCGCAGTACTGACAAGATCGCGGGCACACATCCCTCATTTTTCGGTGCTCGCAGTATTTTGGTTGGTTTGCGTACAGCTTGCAACTAGCAATCTCATCCGCGCAATAACCCTTGATTTTTTCTATTTATAAAAAAAACCAGCATTAATCAGAGCTGATAAGTAGATCTGCTAATCGATGCAGGTGGGTGAGAACCACATCTTGCTTTTGACACTAAAATATGAGGGTTTAGTATACTCTATTCTTAATAGTGAATGTCTAAGAAGGCTGGGGAATCAAGAACACTTGCCTGTAGAATCTCGATCTGGTTCGATTCTCAAACTCAGAATCACATGTGAGTAGAATCTATTAGGTCTCTCCCTTTATTTGAGGGTTTCTCCGGTTTTAATCCCTCTAGAAAATCCAACATGCTAAATTCAATTCGATCGACCTGTAAGGTAACTGTGCCCTGACTTTGATCAGCCCAGAGGTTGTTCGAAGGTTCGTTCTGTGAGTTAGCCGTGCCCTGACTTTGATCAGCCCAGAGGTTGTTCGAAGGTTCGTTCTGTGAGTTAGCCGTGCCCTGACTTTGATCAGCCCAGAGGTTGTTTGAAGGTTCGATCTGCGAGTTARCCGTGCCCTGACATAGATCAGCCCAGAGGTTGTTTCAGGGTTCAATCTGTGAGTTAGCCGTGCCCTGACTTATATCAGCCCAGAGGTTGTTTCAGAGTTCGATCTGTGAGTTAGCCGTGCCCTGACTTATATCAGCCCAGAGGTTGTTTCAGGGTTCAATCTGTGAGTTAGCCGTGCCCTGACTTATATCAGCCCAGAGGTTGTTTCAGAGTTCGATCTGTGAGTTAGCCGTGCCCTGACTTTGATCAGTCCTCCAGGTTCAATAAAATTACAGGAAAGTAGATATAGTAAGTTTCATTTCTCATACGAAACTCCAATAGATAAAAAGAGACCTAGATTCACTGGGTGAGGGTATSGAATGCAGTCCTCGAAATTCAACTTTACCTTTACATGTTTCGAGCTGCATGCTGACTCGAGGACACAAGCATTTATGAGTTGCGTCGATCCTTTTGCAATATTCTGGATTGTAGCATTCGTTCGTCACACAATGTCCAACTGAAACATTAAACCAGCATATTTCGATCTTTTCAAAAAATTGAATCTTACTATTTTATCTTTTAGTATCAACYCACTAATGATCTATGAAAAATCATGCGCTATGATTGGCTGAGCAAAAAAGTAGTAGCAAAAAGTAGCGGTTTTGAAAACCAAATGAAAAAAAAWGTATCCATTTAATTTTTTCTCGCCCTCGTGAGTACACCATTCGGGCTGCGGGTCTAATTGTTAGATATTCTATATCTTTTTATTTTGCGCGTAATGTTTTAACATTCAGACCACAAATCCTTCCCTGCAATATCCGATTTCTTTGTTTAACGGTTGTACATGAGAAGACACATAAATATGGATACCACTCAAAGGAGGAATCTTATTTTCAAGCCTGAGAATGACACGTGGTCATAAATGGGAAAAAAAATACATCTAATAAAAGGGTCTACGACTTGGTTTCACTTGACGTCATTTCCTGTCTCGTGGGGAATGTTCCGAGCGAATCAAAGGTTTTAATAGAATTCTTTCTGACTGATGAGCACACGGTGGTCAGTGTTTGACCACCATTTGGAGCAGAAAATGAGATTTTATCAGCTGATTGAAACCCATCAATTATAATCATTATTTTCCAGTTATTTTCCTTCAAAAAATCAAGAGTAAAAAACAACGCTTATGTTGGTAGTATTGACAAAAGAAGCTGAGAAATCTTCTTTTGAATACACCAATATGTTGCAACGATGACGTAAATTGCAAATGAAATATGACTCACCGGTTTTATAATAACAGCAAACCGCGGTATTTTGGTTGTAAACGACTCCATTGATATACACACCCGCCACTTCTATATGTGATAACCACTTCATCCAAACACCAAAYTGTGAGATCTCAAAATGGCCAAATTTTCGGACCTCCATGACATTATTGGGTCTTGCTAGAGTTATGACAGGGGTGTACCTCTTAGGYCTTGCAGTAAGGGAGAAATACTTGTTATTATGCGTACTTAGGTTGCCATCCTCATAGTATTCAATACCATTAGCCTCCTTCCACGAGAAAACCATGTGAATCCATTGATTAACGTCTCCCTGGACGTGGATTCGCCATCGTTTAGTYGCAGTTTCTAAAATAAATTCAAAGCCTCTGATAGAGGTGTCGTAGACGAGCCGAAAGCCTGGCCCGCGTTTAGAGTTCGTGAATGAACCAGAGGACATGATATAWCCAGATCCATAGACTTTGAGCCAGAAAGCAAGAGTGAAACCTTCTTTGCAGCGAGYTGGATCTGTCACACAATCGGCGTTGAAGCCGCCTGAATCAGATAATTGAACCAGAGTTACTACATTAACAATGCTAAAAAATAGTTACAACGATTCTCAATACCACGCGCTAAATCATTGTCACAACGTAGTAGGTTTTRGTGGACGCCAATCAAGACGTTTCCGCTACATTCTATAGACATCTGCCTTGGAAAATGTTTTTCCACAATGTCATGGAAACGCTTTGATTGATGTCGACAATTTTTTTTTTTTCCGAGAAGGCAAATCGAAGGATTAAGCGCGTGCTAGTAAGAAACACAAACAGTACGAAACAAAGGAACTAAAGTTACAGTGCAAAATTAGGTGAACGAAAATTAGTGCGTGCTTTTGAATATTATATTATAAAAAATATAACTTGCAGCAAAAATTACCGCCATTTGCATTGCTACGCGGCCAMCCCAGACAAAAATSGYGACGTGCACTTTGCAATAGACTRCCGTCAATCAAACACGTTGACATCATTTACACGCGTGTGTGATTYAAAAGGCGCCMAAACTTGWCGATTGTTYACAAGTATTATGAGCCACACTCACCGGGCMTATCCGGGCCGATCCAAAYGMGTRTAAATGACGTCARCGTGTTTGATTGACGGCAGTCTATTGCAAAGWGCACGTCGCGATTTTTGTCTGGGGTGGYMGCGTRGCAATGCAAATGGCGGTAAAAGTTGGTGATGAAGTGGTTTGAATGAAACTTRTGGTATAAATGCATATCTGACTATTTAAAATACGCCACAAACAGCTGTGGACAAATTACACAATATATGATGTAGATATCATCGAAGCCACTTCTTTAGCGGCTTTTCCTCGGCACCCACGGTATCGATAGTGACAGTGCAATGGTTGGATGCTGGGATTTTTAAGCTTAATTTATTCAATACTGGAAAAACCTTTGAGCGCAATGTTTCCCAATATCAGCCCACGTGTCATTCTCTAGGGTATTTTTACTTTGTTTAAGGGTCCGTTGCGCATGAGAAGAAAAAAAATGAATATGGATACAACTAGAGCTCAAACAAAAAATTCTTTTTTTCGAGAGAAAGACACGTAGTTGAAATAGGATATCATTACGATCTTGCTAAGAGGTTCTATTAAAAATAGAGCTAACAAATTATTTGCACAATTATGGGTGACAAATAGACCTCTGGGCTTGGGCGTAACTTAATTCCCCTTTTCAGATCACATGTCATTCCCTAGAGTATCATTTCTTTGTTTAACGGTTGTGCATGAGAAGACACATGAATATGGATTCAACTCAAACAAAGAATCTGATTCTCTAGAGAATAATACATGTTCTATAACACTGAACACTGCGCCCAAGGTAAAGACGTCTATTTTAAAATGAACTTAGTAAATCAACACTCCTATCACTGGCACACACACCCAGAAACAACACGAACAGCTACAGTCCGAAATGTGAAAGAAACAAACATTTCTCGAAATTTAGCGAGTACCACGAAAAAATGGCTCCAAGCACAGGTTGGTCTTAATAAAATACTGTAATTGTATGAAGTCATCAAGCCCAGCCTYAACTTAATTCGAGCCAATTTTTTTCGTGCTCACTCAGCCCATTCGATCGGATCAGTTGTTGAATCAGATC